ATCAGGGAAATGCTTGAGACTACTGATACAAAGGACCGACAATGCTTCTGTTTGACATGTTTACATAATCACTTAACGCACACGCAGGATAAACACTGTGTTTGAAATGTATCCAGGCAACCGAGAGTAACAGCAGGCAGGCTGGTTACAAACCCCACAATGATCACCCTGGTGTAGCCCAGTGTGTTTCTGTCATTGTTAACATACTCAGGGTCAGAGGTTGTAGACCCTTTAGGCAGTAAGCATGAGTGATTTGAGATTCTTATATTTAGATTTTTTTAGTTAAAACAAAACAATAAAAAACTGCATATTTAAAGAAAAATGTGAAAAGTGTGTAATTGGATCTACGTGCAATAATTTGAAACGGAAGAACAGTTATGTAGAATCTGTAGCAAGATATATTGGTCAGCATCCTGGTCTTTATGAACCTTTTTGCGTCAAATTCTTTGTTTTCTTCCTTTTTGAATAAAGCCTACAGGTCTGTCAAAAAGTTGATGGGGGGCATACAGTATACTCCTTAATTGGTGTATATGCATATACTCGATCAAAGACTTGAACAGAGCTTCTTAATTAAGTAATGATTTTTTAAATTTCTTGTTAATAGAATATTATAATTTCTTCTTATTTTGCTCTTTACAGAAACACTGGACATCAAGTTGATATTAGCTGGTAAATAAGGATTTCTAATGGGGAAACTAGGGTGGAATGTATTCCTTTACAGACATGGCACACATATTTAGAAAAGTGTCATTTTAAAGCTGTTTCTTAATCAAAGGGATGAGTGAAATTAATTTTGGTTTCTCAGCCATGACTAAACATATTCCATCTGAGCAGAAATCTTTCCAGATCTGCCTTGTGAAACTTCTAATCTCAATGTTTGTGTTGTGCATTTAATCCCAGCCAGTTCATTAAAACTGTAAGTATACATTTGCAAACAGCTCGTGGTTTCAGGTTTGTCAGCAAAGGGAAAGTGTGGTTGAAGTTTTTGATCCATGTGACCTGCAGCATTTTGCAACAACTGAAAGCAAGGCAGCAAACGAGTTACTCATTAAATAGCCCGGAGAACGTCTTGTTTTGTATTTTCAGCGACATCTCATTACTGGCCTTTCAATTGCAGGAATGTTGTACCAATACATTTTAAAATCATGACTTTAAGGTAAACCAACCCAATATGTAGATCTACATGAATAGAACAAGCCTATATATACTGTATGACTGATCAAACAAAAACAAAGTTACTCAGTTCTAGTTTACCTTATCAGAATCAAGTTTATTGCAGAGTAGGCTTGAACTTACAAGAATTTGACTTGGTGTTGATGGTGCAGACAAATTATATATGTATATATTATATATACAGAATCTAGAGCTTTATACAATATAAAACCTACAATACACTATATACAATATGTAGTATATAACTATATACACAGTAGACTGTGCCTTAATGTAACGCAGGTCTGGACATGCTACGCTGATGCAGCTTATATTATTGACATGTCAATAGTTTTGAAACCAGAACCTTTTAACGCTTTTGCATACCTTGATTGGCCATGTTTCTTTTTTGTAGAATAAATAAACTGACAAAAGAAAACACCTTCTGAGCAGACTTCACTTGACTAAGTGACTCCTATAAAGATTAGATTTTCAGAGCATATTGCAATAATGAAACTAATGGAAGGGATTCCTCTGTCATTAATGACACGCCCTCAGGCATGTTTTCCTGCATATCTCATGATAACTCTCGACCTGCTCCAGTTTAAATATAGTAAAATAAACCGTAACCCGAGATCTCTGCACAAGACAGAGACAGATGCTTGGAGCAACAGGATTACTGTGGGTCATTTAATGAGGTTTATATAGTGCTGTTTCACAATCCAAACTTTTTTGCTCCTAAAACTGTATAAAATGGAAGAAAAATGAGAGGCTCGTCATATGTGAGCAGTTTTACTTGTGTAAAAGAAATTTAAAACCTTAATCCTTGAGTTTATGCTGAGAAAGTTGTCAATTAAGCTCTCCATACTTCAGTCAAATGCCATAAGCCAGACTGTTTCTCTTGGCCCTCAAAGAGACACAGGCAGAGTGGAAATGCGTCAGTGTGCTCTGCCCCTTAGGCTTTACTGCTCTTGTTAACCTCCCTATTCTCAGAAGCTGCAGCTGTATGTCAGGATCTGTTCACAAAAAAACCTGCACTGATGAAGACCATAAGATGCAGCCCACTTTTTTTGATTAAATTCTAACTTAACAAACTGATTCCTGATGTTAATTAGCTTTTCTTACAGCTACTAAAAATATCTCCAAAAGATGAATCATTCTTTCTGATAGAGACATGTTCTGACTAAACTATTTCTCTGTTGGAAGCAGGATTTCGCAACCTAATATACTTATTTTGAAATACCTTAGCCAGGTAATAGATAAAATGGCCATCTTCTTTGGAGAGGCATGAAGCTAGTCTTATATAAATCGAAAGAAGTGAAAGCAATGCTCAACTATGGCTCCATTTAGAGACATTAAAATGCGATAAACTTAGATCATTATATTCAAAACTAAACTTTTAAAACCACTTTCTTTACCATAAAGTCTGATTTGGTGTTTTATATTATTATCCAATACAAAGCAGGACCAAATTAAGATGAAGGAAAACAATGCAAGTTTAGCTTGTTACAGATAAAAATCTGAAGAGTACCATGTTGATATTAATGGCCATCCTAAACAAACAAGCAAAGCTGCAGGTAACTAATTTAGATAGATCAAAGCATATATCTTAGGATGGCCTAGTCAAAGTCAAGACCAGAAATGTAGGTTAAAGCCTGAAATGATCATTAAAAACTGATGTTTTCAGACTTTTTTCATCCAGTGTGACAGTGCTGGCACTACACTGCAGAAAATAATGAAAAATTACAATTATTCATTTGACTGATGGTAGATAGAGTACTCAACTACTAATGCTATGTATTTAGAAAAAGGTGGTTCTATGGATTATCAACTCTAAGAGGATGAATGGAAATGCGTGACACACCTTTCTGACTTTTATCTGCAGAAAATGTTGAAAACTAGGCTATAAAATCCCAACACAATTTCTAGACAAAATTGTGAGAAGATTCAATTCGTTTGACTATGCCTTCAAGTCATCGCATCTATACAAGGCTCATACCATTCTTAAAAGAGTTGCATTTAATGCGTTGGAATGGCATTTTGAAGTAGGGCTGCAACTAAGGATTATTTTTGCAAATCGATTAATCTGTTGATTCTTTTTTTCAATGAATCGATTAATAATCAGACAGCAAAAGGTTCCTCTAAGAAGATTTTTTTTTAATACAAATTTAGCCAGGTGAAGCTAAAACTTTTCCACTTGAGGAGTTCTCAATAGAGCACATTGACAGATGAAAATATATTTTTTGTCTTAAATGCAAAATGTTTAAATATCTATATTTTTTTTTACCATTTTGCTATAATTACTCCTTTAAGTGGGTTACTCTGTCAGTTAAAGGTCTCTATACTGCAGTTAACGATTAATCGATTGCTAAATTAGTTGAAGATTATTTCAATAATCGATCAATTGTGAATAATTTTTTCAGCCCTAGTATTAAGTGAAGCGTGAATCCTGAGGGTGGATTGCTTATGTACCATTTTGCCATTTAAATAAAAAGAAAGAAAAATGGTGCTTCACATAAGAACTGAGTTTATACTGTTCAAATGTCCATCTCAAGAAGCATTAACCAACTTTTATGCTGGTCAGCAGCACATAACTCCTGTTTGATTGCCACGTGTGTTGTGTCTTTTTGATGGCAAAACAAGAGCAGGTCTGGTTACACAGAGAGCTGGACAGCAGTGGGTCTGAATTAGACAGATGTTCAGGGGACCACCCTGTCAAGTGTTTGTTCAGTTTGCTGTGGAAAAAGACAGAAGCAGACAGTCAGCCCAACTGCCCTAGTCTGGGACAACGATAGCTGCGCTTTATTATTATAGATCGGATTCTGTTCAAAACAGGCCGTGCCATTTGATCTTTGTTCCTCTGACTGTTTTCCCTGGCGCCGCAATGTGTTTCTCCATAAGCAATTGTAATAATGCAGTGGTGCAGCTCATTGGAAAATAAGCAGACTGGATATTAACGTAAGGTGGAAAATTGTTAGAGGAAGCATGGCCGCAGATGACATTGGATTCTGCAGGGCAGAGCTGTTTAAAAACCCGGTGCAGGGCTCCCTTAATGCACTTCAGCTCAGTCAGAAAGGAAACATGCGAGTTTGTTGCCTGTTGTCTTGATGCAGACAGGAAGGGAGCCAGGAGACGCACCACTGTTCCTGGTCTAGGACCAGCCTCTCTAACTCCATCTGTTTTTTCGCTTTTGTTCTGTCTTATTTTTATAGGCAGATAGGGACACATAACCTGTGAGTTCAGAGCAAATATAGAACAAATTGTTATTAAAACCTGTCATCATTTAAAGTAGCCATACATTTAAAAGGGCTTTAAACTACTGATGATAACTTATTTTTGTTTAACATAAATCAGACTGTATTTGGATTAATTAAAGCTCCAAAACTTTGATACAATAGAAAGGCTATTAACACATAGCAAGAATAAACCAATAAGGAGCTGAAAGGTTTGTTGGATGCTCTTCGGTTCCCAAAATACCTCCAGAGTAAAATAAGAAGGAAGAGGAGACAAACAGACCACCGTAAACCTACAGGATTTCGAAATGGAGAAGCTGCTGTAGTTCCAGCACTCGTTAATGAGTGCAGACTTCAGCACAAAAATGACTGCATAGTTTTTGATGTTTTCAACATATTTGTAAAAGTTCTGTCAAATCTGCAAAGGAGAGGCACATCTATGTTATATTGGTGCATGTGTTAATATATTTTATTTTGCCTCTGCACACCAAACAGAAGGTATGAGCTAGAATTTGGAATTTGTTGGTCAGAGCAAAAGATTTGAGTTGAACTTTTCTCCAAATTCAAAAACAATAAAAAGATAACAATAACTTCTGTTTTCTTCTGTCTTCACAGACCCTCCACTGTCTCCAAAGAGGAATCTGTAAAGGTATGTGGCCGAACATTCATTTAACACTGCATCTGAATCGTTTCATTTAGGCCCATGACAGAAACCTTCTGAGATTTTCTGAAAAATAAAAATGGCTTTGCATGTTCACATTACCCTTTAAAAGTGTTTACACCCATTTTTTTTTTTTTTTTTTTTTTTTTTTTTTTTTTTTTTTACATTTTTGTCACTTTACAAACATATACATCAATGAATATAGCTAGGATTTATGAAACAGACCAAGAGAAAATAATTCAGGGTTTTTATACAAATATACATTTCTGCTGAAATGCATATTGTGTCAAAATATCTCCTAAAATAAAAATCAGAGGTCTGGTGTCCATATTTATTCCTTCTACCTGAGTTGATTCATGACAAACCAGCTTTCTTTCTAATTTAGCCCAAACTCAGACTCGAATGAGAGCCGTTTTAAACAAGGATTTTCAAATATTGTGATGGATTTTTTCATAGAATACATTTGAAGCTTTGACTAGACCACTCTAATATATGAATAGGCTTTAACCTCAACCATGCTGTTGTAGTTTGGCTCTTTAAGGGTTGTCATCTTGCTAAAAGGTCAAACTGAACCCTAATTTCAAGTCTTTGGCAACCTCCAAATAGTGGGATTTCATCTCAATTTTTAGCTTCAGCCATCCTTTTGACAATTCTGACCAGCCTACCTATTCTTGTTGAAGTAAAGCATCATGATCCACTGCTGATTCTAGCACCTAAACTCTGGATCTCTGCAAATCATTCAGCTCTTTTGATTAATACTTTTGTTTTTTTATTTGAACTGGGCCCTACAACTCCTTCAGCACTTATATTCACTTTCGGCCTTTCCCCCATTTAACCCTTTCCACATGTTCTCTAACTTTTGGGATACTAAGGCTTCATAAAACACTGAGGGAGTGAGAGTTATCAGAAGAAATGGCTGAACTTTATTTTTATTTAGGGGTGTCTGATACGGGGGTGAATTAGTTTATGTTTGTTTCTTTCAACTACAAAGTTACGTCCAAATATCGTGTCAAATCCCCCCAAAACACATTCATTTCATCTTGTAAAGTGACAAATTGTAAAAAAACAAAAAAAAGGTCACCTTTTGAGGTTGTGTGGCAGAGATGCAGCTTAAATTTTCCATCAGTTTGATGCCACGATTTATTTTTGTGTGTTGTTGCTGTGAAATCTAGTGTTAGTGCATGGGATTTCTGTGGATTTTTGCTGTTTGTCTTCACCTTCATCCAGGAAGAGCCTCAGGAAATCATTAAGCCCGTGCCGATCACTCACCCCGCGCCCAGCAACACATACACCAAGCCACTGAGCCAGTCCACTCCTCTGTACAACAAGACAGCTCGGCCATTTGGGGGGGGAGGCAGTGGGTTCACAACTTCTTCATCCCCCTCTGCACCAAAAGTTGCCACTATTCCCTCAGAGTCATCAGCTTTCACGCCAGCTGCCCCCTCTCAACCGCCACAGCCTCCATTCGCACTGAAGTCGAGCCACTCTGCTTCCGATTCGGCTGCAGTAAACTCGTCTCTTAAAATCAACCCCGGCCGCTCTGCATTCACCTCCCCGTCTGCTTCGTCCACCTCATCTAACTCCTCATCATCACCCAGAGTGACCGCCCCTCCCTCCAATCCTAATGTCCCTCAGCCCTCCGTCTATAACACACCTATCAACCTGTACTCCAATGACAATGCTTGTGAAGTGGCTATTGGACAGAGGCGAGGCCTTTTGGAGAGCCAGGGCCTTTCAGAACATGTCAATGGGTAGGTCTATGGTTTTAATGTTTTTTCTTTCTGTTTCATACATTTTATTAAAACAAACAAGCGATTATTTTTTCCAGCTATCAGGTCTCGTAGCTGGAAATTACAGGACTTCATGGTATGGAACATTCTTGTGGTCCGTCTGTCTGAAAAATGCATTAAAGCCAATATAACTCATTCTGATCTCCGCCATATGAAACTCTGCGCTTTAAAACACTTCACCTGAAAAAAATGATACTTGAAAAGCAAAGAGAGAAACCACCGATTATAATCTGTGTGCAGCTGGGAGCAAGAAAAAAAATGAGAGTGGCATTCTTTTTCGACGCTTGATTGATTTGTTTTCAACCACTTTAAGTGCCGCCCAGGCTGGTTTCTGTTCTGGCACTGTTGGAAGATTTTTCTGAGCGTGTTTTGTAGCACTTTTTCATTATTAGCTATAACAATCGGATAAAACAGGAAGAGTTGTCATGTATGGTTTATCATTTCTTCTCTTGCTGATGTATATTCTCACTCATTCAGTAAATTAATGTTTCATCTGCCTATATTTGCACAGTTTAGCCCAGACTGAATGTTTTGCTTTAAACCAAACAGCTATAGTATTGCTGTGGGCACGTTGGTTTTTAACCACATGGAGAGAAAAAAACGGGAACTGCTTGGAGTAAATATCACTGTGGTGAAATAAGGCACTAAAACAGACGATCCATTTTTTTTTTATTTAACCGGCAATATTGTTGAACAGTATGAATACCCAGTTTCTCAATACCCAATGGATAAATTTACTTAGAAAACAAAGGAGAGAGCGAACGTAAGGGGCTGCTGCGCTCGCGGCGGCATTTTGATTGGATTCTTTTTTAGTTTTTGTAAAACTAAAAAAAAAGAAAAACATTTCAGGATAAAATACTTGACAGAAAAATTTAGTGATGAGGATTTTAAAGCTCTAATTGCTTTCAATCTCAATAGAAGTTGTCAAACCGAGGTCTTGTATCAACACTTACCATCAAACAGATTAAGAGGAATGGGCTTTATCTCAATGGTTTTGGTTCACGGACTCACTTTACTGAGCTTTAGTGTGTTTATTTCTTCAGCTTTTCATCATACATTTCTTAAACTGCTCCTTGTCCCCTTTATGAAGTCTAGTTTTTTATCTGCATGTGGGTCTTTGCTTCCTAACCTGCATGCTTTCTTTTTATGATTTGTTTTACTTGATCTTCTCTGAGAAGAGAGTCTTGGATCATACAACATTTTTCCTTTCTTTTTGGCTTTAATTCTTTTCCATCTACCATTTTCTTTCCCACAGGAGGAGGAAGAGACAAACACCAAGTTAGTGCTATGATTGATAACGTGGTTGCTGCTGTAGCTTGTGATTATAGCCTCCACATCTCTCTGGGTTATGATTAGATTAAGGCATGCTTACACCTCTTTGAGTTAACCCTCACAAACCTCATCGGTTAACATGAAAAGCTTATTTTAACATGAGAACAAACCAGCGAATAATCATTTTGTACAAACCTCAGCAGGCACTGATTAGCAGGATGGCCTTGGCAGTTTTTTTCAGGCACTTTAGAGCAGCTGTGTTTTCAACCAAGTCTATTTGATTGCATTCAGGTTGAGTTTTTTAAACAAAGTGAAACATGGTGCACAGGTTTAAGCGCTTGATGATAAACCTGCTCACTGTCTGAGCATGTAGACACTGTACACTGCACCTCAAAGTTCAGAGTAAACAGCCCAGCATTATTGTTTTTATAAAGAGGTCAGATTTAACATTGAAAGCATGTTACTACCACCTTGTGGTGTAGCACTGACTCACACTTTAGTGATTTCTAAAAAAAATAAAATAAAAAAAATTTGCTTGTCTGAGTTAAATGATTTTCACTAGCTTGCTATTTTGCTAAAGGTTACCTTGTTGTAAGTATACTTTAGGGAATTTAATTATCAATACAATATTCACTCTTTTACTTTTAGGTGTTTTCTAATATTTTGCCAAATTCCCAATACTTCATTTTCTTTTTTTGTCTGTATCTCTCTATATCTGTAAATATGAAATTCTTTTGTTCATTTTCTCCCTTCAACAAACTTTGCCTCTTCCTGTGCAGAGCTCCAACTCCTCCTAGGAGGTAATTATCTGGCTTAAACCTGCTGAAACATCATATTGTGTTTCTACAAGCTACAACTTTTTGGTTTTCATTGGTCTTGCAGCACTTTCAACATATTTTTGTTATAAAATGAAAAACTGATCATTAGATTGAATTGTTTAAGGTTTTAAAAAACAGTTACAACTAAGTTTTGTTTTTTTTTAACATCAACTTGAAATATCATCTCTGAGTTTTCAACTCAGAGATATTATCCACAGTTACGCATCACATTATAAATCTAATAATTTTTTTCCCAATAATAATCATTACTGTTGTAAGAGTCTAACAACTATACAAATGTTTATTGGATTTGGTTTTGAAAATTCCATCACATCCAACCCAACATAAGGAAAAATGTATGATTTAAATCTCTTTAAATCAAATTAATGGAGGAATCTTTAATATTGCACCCTGTAGTGTGTTCAACATGACATATTTAACCTGCAGCAGAAAATATGTAGTAAAAATTTTAGTTGTTTTAGTAGAAATTTGAGGGCAAAACAATATAAATGGTGAAGAATAATTGTTTAAGAGACAAATGTTTATGCTTTTAGAATTTTTTATATTTTCTAATGAACAAATAAAAATGTTTTAACAAGTGAGACTCAATTAACCAACAAACACATTTTAATGCTATACTGTACAGCTCTGAGGATTTCCAGTAGTGAGCAATAATCTTTCTAAATTAGGTTCCAACTCTCTCCAGCTCACACATTCCCTAGCTATCTTTCTTTATAGCGCATTGAGCTGAAAAACATCAATTCTAACAATTTAGTGTTACATTATTTTTCTTTATTGCAAACTAAGTCTTTTATTGGAAAAAGCTAATAAACTCTAAACCTTTTCACATTGATCACATGATTATGTTCAATCTTTAGATGACCCATGCATAACATGCCTAAATCAAGTGGCTGAATAACCTCTGCATATATTTAATCTTTACAGGATCCTGCTAGATACCTATTTAAACAATATAGTGGTATTGACATAGAGGATCATTTAATGATCCAAGACACCAACCCTTGAGGACTGAAGTGAGACATATGTGATCTAGATTAGGTTCCCAAACCTTCCAACTTCTGACCCACAGAATGCTATCAGTGTCGACTCATGACCCAAACTATTGGCTGAATATACAAATAAAATCAATTAACTACAGGTGTATTAATATTAAAAACAGTATCAACAACTAAAGCAGTAGGTTTTCTTAATGTTTAAGTAATGCTTTTATATCATTTACCACTTTATAAATAAATGCATCAGTGTTTACTGTTTACTTTAATATCTTTAGTGGATCTCAAGACTGGTTGATCAAGAACCCCAGTTGGAATCATGACTCCAACTTAGGAATCAATAAGCTGGATAATAAACACTTAAATGAGAGTACAAGCTGTTTGGTTATTGTATTGTCCAATACTAATTTATGTTACTTTTGCTGTCCAGGAAAGTTGGTGTGGAGCTTGAAAAGAGCGCGTCCCCTCTCAGCGAAGCCAGCAAGAAACGTCTTATAGAAGACACAGAGGACTGGCACCCACGGTCCGGTACCTCTCAGTCTCGCTCCTTCCGTATCCTCGCACAGATGACCGGCACAGAGAACGGTCAGTCCTGAATTCGGTTTGAGAAAACAGAAAGACATTTTAAATTGAACCGCACAACAACATTATTCTAATGGGAAATCAGATGTAGCGCATTTTAAGAGATTAGAATTATGGTGTTGCTAACCCAATCCCCAGGCCTTCATTTAGTACAGGGCTTGGTCATTTCTATGCAACACAGATTAGAAGGCATTCTTGGTACGATGCAGTAGCTGCATTTCCATTACAAATGTGCACAAAACTATGTTGGTACTCTGCTTGTTTCAAAAATGCTAATTTTAGCAATTACGGTGTTTCCATTAAGTAGGAAATGCAAGTAAAATTGTAAAAAGAGGAATGATTCTGGTAACTCAACCAACCAAACTAAAAGATGTGCTTGGAGTTTTAACAAATTCTAAATCTTTCTAGTTTAATGATTAACTAAACTGTTTAAAAAACAGTAACCGGCTAGCGTGGGTTTAAAATGGATAAAGCCACTATATTACAAATATAATTGTTTTTTTTAATTACCGTAGTACCTTATGGTCGTGAAAATATGGTACTAGCTTGGATGTTTTTTTTACATATATATATATATATATATATATAAATATATATATATATATATATATATATATATATATATATATATATATATATATATATATATATATATATATATATATAAATATATATATATATATATATATATATTTATATATATATATATATGTAAAAAAAACATCCAAGCTAGTACCATATTTTCACGACCATAAGGTATATATATATATATATATATATATATATATATATATATATATATATATATATATATATATATATATATATATATATATATATATATATATATATATATATATATATATATATATATATATATATATATATATATAAGTTAGCATCTAAACTAAGCACTTACTTTGTATATGATTGTAAATTAAATGTTGCTTTTTTTTCCTTTGCTCTTGCAGAAAACATGCCGGAAAATGGAAAAAAGTAAGTGGTGCTTTTATTTCTGATTTACTACCTTATTGAGGAAAATAGGTCAGTCTTAATTAGATAAGCACTTTTAAAAATGTGGCCCAAACTGTAGGGGATTATGATTTTTTAAAAGGACCAATAAATATTTACAAAAATCTTTCCGTTAGATTTCCAGTGACACTACTATTGATTTTCCATTGAAACGTAGTGTTGACAGTTAACATCATGTAAACTGATTAAATGAAGGGCTAAACAGTGCATGCTCTTCATGCAAACTTTGCCAACAAGTCAGTCATTAGTTTCTTACTTTTCTTGGATTTAAACACTTTAAAGAGAGACATCTCTCTGAGTATCACTATAAAGGAACTCTTTGCACTCTCCTGTGGATTTCCTTCTTTCATTTTTGTTTTCCTTGTGTGTAGTATCTGATATTTCTTTCTTTACTTTAACTGTTCAACTGTTCTCCCCTGTCCTTTTTTTCTCCTTTACTCTATCCTTTTATGCTACTCAGAGTAAGCAAGGTGGATCCTGAAGTTGTAGGACACAAGTACAACAAGCTGAGAGACTGGCATCATGGTGTTTCAGCACGAGTCCTAAATGTGCAATAGTAAAATGTTTATTTTGTTTTATTTGGTATTTGACCATAAGAAACTTCCATAGCATCATTTAGTAAATGTATTATTTGAACATTTCAGAGAGAACATATAAAAGTAAATAAAAAAGCAAAAGTTCACGCTTTGTGGTCTAAAATTCTTGTGAATTCGGTTCTTGCTTAAAAGCAAATGTCCATATATAATATATATTTTGTGTGTGTACCTTTAAATCTGAACTTCTATATTTTATGCTTATATTACTGGTTTTTTGGAACATGTCTCTTTTTTCCCCTCTAAACTTTTAATGTTTTCATCTGTTTTCTGAATAAACACTTTGTTCTCTGCTTTCTTTCCACATCCTTGTCTTTTGTTTCTTCTTTTAACATTTTCTGGAGAGAGATATGTATATTGGAATAATTGATTAATTGATATGATTTTAAGAAGCATTACTGAACAATATTGTTTTCAGACAGTAAAGCAAAGAAGGGCAGTTAAAAAGGAAAGTCCAAAAAAGCAAAAAAAACAACAACAATCCACTGGATTTTGTTTCCAAGTTTGAAGACGTTTTGCTTCCCATCAAGGAAGCTTTTTCAATTCAAAATGTAAGAAATCGCGTTGAGTTCGAAGCTTTGTAAAATGGACCAAAAACAAAGTCTTGTTTTGGCTTAGAAAAGATGCAAAATGGATCGGACAAATGTCTCCGCCCTATAGGAATGGGTTCTTAAAAAGGTCAGATGTCAAATATTAATACAGTACATGGAGGCGCTCTTGCTTTGAAATAGATTTACTACCTGATAAGTTTACAACCATCCACCATTACAGCTGTTGTTAAAATGCTGAAGAAAAAGGGAAATCTAGCCCTATCTCTTGTCTTCTGCAGCATCCAATTGGTTCTTATCTCATACTTTGCACTTTGTGCAACAACAAATCTGTCCCTTCTGAAGAGAAGTATCCGCACAGCATGAATGCCAATGAAATGTTTTAAGGGGTGATTATATGAAATTACTAATCAGATTTTTTTATTTATGGTAGTTGAATAGAAGGGCTGAAAAAAACTGTAGGCCACTGGTTTTTTATTGTTAAGAGGTCGGGGAAGGGGTATTTTAAGGATCATATAATGTGTAAGACGAATAAATGATTTTGCACCATATTCACACTCTAACTTTAGAGCTTTTTGTTTTTTAATTTCGTATTGCTTGCATTTGAATACTCTAAGCCTTTACCCAACCAGGCCACAGTAACCAGTCTGTAATAAAGCCTTATTAGTTCGCACTGGTGTTGCCTGTCTTTATTATTTCAATCAAGTAAAAAACATAGAGCCTCCAAAATCAATTTACACCACTGGGCGTTTACTATTTGTCAGAAACTCTGGAGTTAAGTGTTTGTTTTGTGTTAATGGATTTGTGTAAATAGCCGTGTATTTATATAAGGTCTGTATCTGTTTTGTAGAGAAGCAGTTGATAGAACCACTCCCATTGTTCACACATCACCTGCTGCAAAAACTCACTCATATTCTACAACAGCACCCAGGAATGGCAGTGCTATCACTGGTTCTACATTTAAGACTCCTTCCATTCAGAACAAAGCCTCCTTCCAACCTGGAGGTCCTTCAGGTACAGTAATGCATTTGCAACCCTCTCCCTTCTACTGCTAAATGCACTAACAGGAAGATTGTTTTTTTTTTTTTTATCTGTTACAGCCTGTAGAGGGCACCCTCATCCTTTCAAAATGCCCTTACCCAGCCATCACATTTATAGCAGGTTTAATACCTGACACTAAGCCGTTTAAGATTATGGGCTCTATAAAAACTGGAGGTATTCGCTTAATGAGCTCAGATTATTGGCTTTTACCAAGATCCCCTCAGTCAAATAGATTGTTAAAGTGAGAAATATGGATTTTATTTTGTGTGAAAGCTGCTCATGAAATGCTGCAATCCCTGCCACAAGACCTGGAGCTGGCCAGGGCAAATATTTGCTTGGAGGCATCCATCATTATTAGTAATACTAACAACTAGTGTGGCCTCATACATGAAAAGATGCACTGTTTTTCCCCGTCGTGTTTCCTTCAAGAAATGCCACACAGAGTGAGGGGGAGAGGCTGAGGCCACAGTGATCTTCTGTTGGCTGCTGTTTATCAGATTAACATACACAAGCATGGATCTCATTCGTTTGAGTGGATTGGTCAAGACTTTAGCTTGTTGTTCATTCATTTACCATGAATGAAGTTATTTTCACATGTTATCCATCCATGCCCATTTAAAAAGGAGCCATTTTTATTAATTGGAAAAGAATTGATAAAATCTGTTAAGAGCTGCTGGTAGTTGGTGTTTTTTCAAGGAGGTTAAACTATATTTTATAGACAGCCCTGAACCTTCTTTTGACAAGTTTACCATTATTTTAACGTTTGATTTACACCTTACTAACATCTAATGTAAATCAGTCAATAAAGAAGATAGAATAATTGTAAATTCTGCGCCAACATTAAATATGGAAAGAGACCAGGAAGTCGATTAACTCATTGAAACACTTGTTTTATTTAAATGTTAATATTGATGCTATTCTAACACAGTCTATGTTTTATTTGTTCACATTAGAGTTAGACAGAAAAAAAGCACTGTAAAAGGGAATGTAGTCATTTATTAGTGGATTGTTTTTAATGTAAAATAAATAGAATAGAATTAGGATTTAAAGCCAAGTAAAGATACATTTTATTTTATTTCCCAAGACTAACAAAAGAAAAAGAAAAAAAATTGCAACTCTGATTACCTGGACAGAATAGTATAAAGTATATGGGAACCCACTAAACAAGCAGTTCTAAAAGCATTACTTATATAAACATAGATTTTCAACATGGCGTTTAGCTTTAAACCTGCTTCAGATATACTTTTTGTTGTAAAGATAAATATGAAAACTGCATTTGGCTTCCTGGTAAAGATGTGTAACAGGCCACAAAACAGTGAATGTAATTTATTGCAGCCGCCTCTCACACTAAACATTCTTGCTTTCCAGTTTAAAGTGAGAATTTGTCCCCCTGGAAATACTGCAGGGAAAACAGGAAGTCAGGAATAATAATATTTCTTTAAAATATAAATTTAGAAAGTATGAAAAGAAGCTCACTGCTCAGGCACATTCATTTTCACAGTCTTGCTTTCTCAGCAGTTTTTCCATACTTTTTTATTTTTAACCCTCCATCCTTCTTTTCACTGCACAGGATTTCCTAAGATAGGAGCAGGTCCTTCATTTGGGAAAATAGTCGGTCCTGCTCAGAAAGGACCAGACCTCCCCACTCCACAGCCGCATCCCGAGGATCTGAATTCTCTAGTGCAGCGTGCAGAACACATCCCTGCTGGCACCCGTACCCCCATGTGCTGCAAGTGCAACAAAGTCATCAGGTACATCAACAATACTGCATATTCATCCACATTTAAACTGAAATTGTGTATAAAGTTTACGTTTTAAAGGTGTTTTTCATCCCTGCTCTCCCAGAGGTCCTTTCCTCGTAGCCATGGGCATGTCCTGGCACCCTGAGGAGTTCAACTGTACTCACTGCCACTCCTCTCTGGCTGAACGGGGATTTGTTGAAGAGAAGAACCAGGTGTACTGTGTGCACTGCTATGAGCAGTTCTTCGCTCCCACCTGTGCCAGCTGCAACCAGAAGATCCTTGGGGTGGGTTTCAAAATTAAATCCATGCTTTATCTGCTTAATTTGAAACTCACTGACTGTGTCAAAGTGTTTAGCACCTAGAAATGTAAGGAAAATGTCATCTTTATTTAATATATATAGATATAGCTATTCTTACAGTATAGGCTCTGTAAAAACTGAAAGGAGTACCAGATACAATTACTGCGAATGCATATTTTTCTGGACACGTTATAAAGCTAGGCATGTCTGATTAACCATTTCTATATTGGTTTAATAGTTACCATGAAAACCAAGTATTTATTCATCAAGATCTAGTATTTCCAAAAGTCCACGATGCCCTGCAGTCCCACAATGTTTATTGGGCCTTTGACTGGGACACAGGAAGTTAAATGTTAGCCAATAGTTAATCCACAGGGTTCAATACGATGTCCGCTTAGCCTTATGGTTATAACAACTTTTCTGCCAAGGCCTTTCACAAGGTATATATCTGTGTTCATAGCTGCTTTTAATTATTTCTTCCAGATTCATATTTATGAGGTCAGACCCAAATTTTTTTTTTTTTTTAGGGGAGGCCTGGCTTATATTTTTGTAACATAATTGTTTTGAGGTTAGGACCCTGTGCAGGCCATCCTAGTTAAATGGAATTTTTTAGACACTTGGATTAACTTTAAAATCTTCACGTTATAAATCGGTAAAGATTCCTCTGTTACATTTATTCTAAAAGATTGCTGGAAGTACCCCCACACTTTAAATAAATCTACAAACATTTTTTCTCAGAAATTTCAATGTGAGGTTATTTTACCTTTTCCCCCAAAATTTGATCAGCTGAACATCATCCTCTGTTCCACTTCATATAACCCTAATTAGTACGTTTATGGTCCTTTTCCATTGGTTAAAAAAACTGTATTCATCCTTTTTGGGCTCACGTCAACTCCATTCCGGTTTTTCATAAAATGACTATCATGGTAATTTGGTTGGAGTCATCGTGGCATCAATATGTGACACAAAGCACAAGCTGACAATGGAGGACCTTCTTTCTGTTATAGTGGAAGAAGAGAGCTAGAGAATACTGCTGGGGTTGGATGAAGTACTCTGGATTAGTAAAGGAGTGAGAGGGAAGCCATAGAGTGGTATCAAACTTAAGGATACAAGGTAGACAATAACTGAGGGTCAGCTTATTCTACCTAATGCTATCTGGCTAGGTTGAAGTAATTTCACCTAATATTGATGATGTGTAATAAGCATGCATAACAGTTGACTCCACTCTAACAAGTGAGTGACACAGGTACTAAAGTCAGTGACGTTACATGGAGGTGTTACTATACAAAAACCTAAAAAAGGCTATCAAATTGTCAGTATGAATGAAAAATGATCAATATTTTGTAATAGCTGGCCTTTCTGTCACAACAAAAAAATTCAAATAGTTTGATAGATGTTATGCAGTCGATGTGCTGCTTATGGTTAAGGAATTGAACAGTGTTACAAACAGACATTTGCATGCACAAGAATCCCTTTTTTTCTACATTTTGAACCTTTGTTTATGAAAGCAGTCAGTAACTGTTGAAATTGAAACATAAAACCACATTTCATATTCATTTTAACAGTTTTACTGATCTCAGAACTTGCTCTTGCTTTTTTATTCCCCCTGCAGGAAGTCATGAACGCCCTGAAGCAGACATGGCATGTGTCCTGTTTTGTCTGTGCTGCCTGCCACCAGCCGATAAGAGGCAACACGTTTCACATGGAGGATGGACAGCCATACTGTGAAAGAGGTGCAGAGAAAATCCAAATCAGGAGATAACTGTACAACACAAAGAGGCTAATATTTTGTGCATTTTCTAATGAAACAGACTACTACACCCTGTTTGGGACCAACTGCCATGGCTGCGACTTCCCCATCGAGGCCGGAGACAAGTTCCTGGAGGCACTCGGATTCACCTGGCACGACACCTGTTTTGTTTGCGCAGTAAGTCTGGGAAAACTCGTTTTAGCCAGTAACAATCTGTAAAATCCTACCTGTGCTCTGTAAATACATTGGTTTGTTGTTTGACTTTTACAGGTTTGTTCCACAAGCCTGGAAGGTCAGCCCTTCTTCTCCAAAAAGGACAAGCCCTTGTGCAAGAAGCATGCACATTCTGTCAACATCTAATTTTGCCATAGAGATCTAGAAATAATAAAGTGCAAGATTGTATCAGACATTAAAACAATAATGAAACAATAGTTTGATTTATACATTGCAGGATTTCATAGCAGATGATGGGAAAAAATGATTTTCATATTTTCTAGTATAATTTTCACTTTTCTGTTCTTATTGCTTATAATAATTCTCTACCAAAATATTTTGATCACATTTCATCCTCTATTAGCATTTGGGCAGATAGGTTTAATAATATATCATAGAGAGAGAGTCTGTATTATGAAATATTTGTTTTACCCAGAAAACATGCTGTGACCTACTGAGGCCTTCAGGGTGTCATTAAAAACCGCTTTGTTGTTAAAACTTGTGAAGCTAAAGTAAAGCTACTGCAAGGTTAGAGATAAGGATTATTTAATGTTAAGTAGAAAACATATTTATGAGTAAGCCAATGTGTTCTAGAAGTTTACCAGGAAATGTTTTTCTTTGTATTGTGATATAAAAATATATTTTTTCTTAAAATTATTCATTACCACTGCAGTGGTTAATGTGCAGAATAAGGCAAAAATTACATTTTACTTGCTTATTTGTTCATCAGTTTTTCTTTTTTTCAAACATTTAACAATGATAAACAGATTTCATCAAAAGTAAAACTTTATGTAATATGCATAAAAAGCGTTTTCTGCTAGAGCCTTATATTAAAATGCCTTTTTCCTAAGTGTACATTTTTCTGTCAGCATGTAATTTCAAGCAGGAATTGGATTTTTGGGAATTTTCCTAAAAAAAATAAAATAAAAAGTATTTTTGATGGGTATCTAATAAAAGGATCTGGTTATTTAATATTCGAAGAAAATCTCATGATTTTGAAAGTTTTGAAATTATTCTGAGGAATAATATAAGCAATGATTCAAACAACTCAGATAGCTCTGCCGGTGCTGAGGGTAATTGAGTTTTTGCTGTTTTGCAGAATTGGAAAATGAAAAAAGAAGAATGACAAAGAAAAATTTAAACATTTTGTTGACAGAGTTAATTATTTCAAATGTAAATCAGTGTTTCTTTTCATTGATTTAAACTGAGTCTAGCTAAAATGCAGTGTGGAACTATGGATGTGTTGCAGCTTTTCTTTTAGCCTTTCTTTGGAGCTCTAGAAGGCTCTAATAGATTTACAATGAAAATTGAATGTATAAATATAAAAAAAAATAAGTAAAGGATATTTTGTCCATCCACAGATCCATAGGGATGGATGGATGGGTGTTGTTTAGGGAATACCTAAACAACACGTGTATAGAAAACGGGTGGAATTTATAGGCAATAACCTAGACACACTCCATCAGAGATGGGAGATGTGGAGCCATCTAGTCATCTCCATGCCATGTATTTGTTCTACCGAGTTGCTGAACCAGGTGAGTCCATCTGCACAATGAATTAAATTGTGCAGATTTCACACTGGCTGCACTCGATAAAGGAGTGGTTCTGCAGATGGGGACCACAAACCACTTCTTAGTACTTATGCTTTCTGGCTGATGTTTTGGTCACTTTTAAATGTTGGTGTTGCTTTCACACTCATGGTAGCATGAGACTCTACAACCCACCCAAGTGGCTCAGGTAGTGCAGCTCATACAGGATGGCATATCAATGCAACTGTGGCAAGAAGGATAGCTGTGTCTGTCAGCGTAGTGTCCAGAGGCTGGAGGTGCTACCAGGAGACGAGCCTGTACACAAGGAGACGTAGAGGAGGCCATAGGAGGGCAACAATCCAGCAGCAGTACCGTTACCTCTGTCATTGTGCAAGGAGGAACAGGAGCACTGGCAGAACCCTGCAAAATGACCTTCAACAGGCCACCAACGTGCATGCGTCTGAACAAACCGCTAAAAACCACCCCTAGAGGATGGTATTAGGACCCAGTGTCCACAGATGCAGGTCGTGCTCACAGCCCAACACCATGCAGGACAATTTGCATTTGCCAGAGAACACCAGAATAAGCGAATTTACCACTTACACCTCGTGATCTTCCCAGATGAAAGAAGATCACACTGAGCACATTTGACAGACGTGACAAAGTGAAGACAATGTCGAACGTCATCTGCTGCCTGGAACGTCCTTCAGCATGACTGGTTTGGCAGTGGGTCAGTAATAGTGTGGGGTGGCACAGCCCTCCATGTGCTTACCAGAGGTAGCATGACCACCATTAGGTACCAAGATGAGATCCTCAAACCCCTTTTGAGACCATATGCTGGAGCCGTTGGCCCTGAATTCCTCCTATTGCCAGACAATGCTAGATCTCATGTGGTTGGAGTGTGTCAGCAGTTCCTGCAAGATGAAGGCGTCTAAGCTAAGGACTGGCCCACCCGTTCCCCAGACCTGAATCTGACTGAGCATATATAGGTCATCATGTTTCAATCCATCCACCAACATCACGCTGCCCGAAAGACTGTATATGAGTTGGTGGATGCTTTAGTCCAGGTCTGGCAGGAGATCCCTCAGCAGACCATCCAACACCTCATCAGGAGCATGCCCAGGCCACCAGAAACACTGAGCCTAATTCTGACCTGTTTTTAAGGACATCACAGGCTGATCCAGCTTTCACGTGTGGTTTTGCACTTAAATTGTGTGTGTGATTCCAAATCTAGGCCTCCATTGGTTAATACATTTGATTTCTATTGGTTATTTTGGTGTGATTTTGTTGCCAGGCCATTCAACATGCACCGAACAAAGTATTCAATGAGAACATCACATCTCATAACAATTACACATCTAGGATGTGTTATTTGAGTGTTCCCTTTATCTTTTTAAGCACATATATATATATATATATATATATATAGCCATGTGACCGAAAGTGTCAAGCAAAACAGAGTCATGCATTGCATTAAAGATGTTAAATGAGCAGCCATGTGGAGATTAAAGGGGAACACCGTTTTTTTTTTTTTTTTTTTTACATTGGACCCTTGATTTTATTACATCATGTTCTACTCATCCATATGAGTTTTGTGTCATTTGGAGCTGTTCCGAGTATATTCGGTTTTGTAATCCTATGGGCAACGAGTTGAAGGCACAAACTAAACTGTTTATAATGTATTCTTTATGGTACGCCAGCATTCATAACATGTAGGAGAATCACTGTCCCCAAGACATCCGCGGTTATATTTTTTATATTTATCTGTTTTAAAACAAAGCGGAGTGTGTATGATGTCATCCACGCGCCGGACTGGAGTTGTGAAAGGCAGCCCGGGCCACAGGCGGCTACGCTCTACCCCTTCTATTCGTTCGGCTAGCTGATCTGAATCATTCAATTCCATTTTGAGAGCGAGATCATCTGTGGTAGCAGCACTAGACATCTTCCAGGCATGTCAGTAAAACTGGCAGCAGTTCAGCGGACAGGAAGAATGAATGGTAGCCGGCACGCGCGGATGACGTCATACACACTCTGCTTAGTTAAAAAAAATATATAAATATAAAAAACATAACCGAGGATGTCTGGGGCACAGTGATTTGCCTTCATGTTATGAATGCTGGTGTACAATAAATAATAAATTATGAACAGTTTAGTTTGTGCCTTCAAGTCGTTTGCCCATAGGAAGACATTACTTGGATATACCCTAACCGAATATCTTCAGAACAGCTCCAAATGACACAAAACTAATATGGGTGAGTAAGACATGATGTAATAACGTAAAATCAAGGGCCCAACGTAAAAAAAAAAAAAAAAAAACTGTGTTCCCCTTTAACTTAAATTTCTGATAGTGCTGCTTCTCTTAGAGGCTAATTTCAATGTAAATGGTTTCAATAGATTTACACAAAAAATTTTGAATTTTTGCAAATTTTAATGATCTTTATCTTTATTTTTTTATTTACATGATTTAGTGATTAAATTAAAACGTGTTGATTTATGCAAGGTGCGCATCATAAAATCTATTGATATTCAAATTGTAAGAAGGTTTTAGTCTGGGGGCAGCTAATCCAACCGTCTTTATAATAATCAGAAATCTTTTGTTGTCCCTGATAATAAGGTATAACGGTAAATGTGTAAACATTTTTAATTTTTATTTTTTTATTATCATTTCTTGGCAACAGTGGCCTTTTCTTACGTCCCATCGCTTCAGGAGGTGCAGCTGACTTGCAGAACTGCTCACGCTAGTGGAGGTTGGGAACGCGCGCTACTTCAAGACCTCAGAGGTGGGAGGTGCGCGCGTGCGGGGAAGTTCAGTGGAATTCCTCAATTGGAAAACTCCGTCGCGAGATAGAAAGGCACGCGCTAATGAAAATACAGAGACTTAGGAGAACTTCAAATGTTTGCTGTTTCTGACTGAACGGATTTACAAGGCGAAAGGGAGAAGGTAAGGAACCCCGCTCTCCGCGTGTTTTCTCCGTGCGGATCAAAAGGCTGGTTTCTGTAGCTTTCAGCTGAGGATCCCAGCAGCTGATCTGTTGGAGCATCACGAGGAAAACAAGGATGCTCATCAGTCGCTGCTCTCACCTTTGTTGTGCAGAATGCATGATCAGAGCGATCTGGTCACCTGAATTACATTAAGATAACCAGAGCTTATTAGGTTGATATTTGATCTTTAGAGTTTTTCTTTAATGTTATAAACATCTGTATAATCTTAACGTGATTGTTGAAACCCTATTTAAATTAAAGTAATGCGGTTTCAACTCTTTCTTGAATTGCAAACGAGACCAACATGCAGGAGCTTAAAGTGCTTAATGTATGTTTGGGTTGCCTTTAAGATGAGGATCTTATTTCCCGATATCTGAGATCACTTATGATGTGCAGAGGCTTTTTTTTAAAGCTATAATTCATGTGGATCTTTTAGATAAGATTAAATACATTTGGAATGCATGATAAAATATGTTTTCTGCAAGTCATAAAAATCTAAAAGTTGATGCGTGATGTTTACATCCGCTTCTCTGATCCTGGAAGGCGCAATCTGTCACCTGTAGGGTGTGAGGAGTTATGCACCAGAAATGTCCCACCCAAAGCATAGGGTAGCTCATTGAATCATTGCTTAGTGAGTGTTTAAAGGAAATATAATAAAAATAGAATTTGAATAACCCATTATCCAGTGCTTGACCTGGTTACACTATTAGGATGGCACCTCAGTGAGTGTGACTTGCAAGGAGGAAGCTCTGTGTGGTCTACCGCAGAGTTCTGCCTGAAATGCTTTAGTAAAAAGACCCACTTGTTGCCATGTTTGTTATTTTTTCCCCCTGAAACCCTTAGAAACAGGGAGAACAGTTCTGCATCTCATCTACAGTGATTTTGTTAAGTACCCACATTAGTGTGTGTATTATTTGGATTTTCTAAACCAGAAAAGCACTTGGAGAGTGCAGACCATCAATTAGCAAATGTTGCCATTCACACATGATCATCATTACCAAGTTTAAATTAACTGTTTTCTGGCATGAGGCACACCTCTGGTTTAAAAAAATAAAAATAAATAAATAAATCTGTTCACAAGTTTTCCGCTCCCTATTTAAGAGTTTTCGGGTTCGTTCGAATTTATGGGCTGCATCCTCCAAGGACGCGATCTACCTGGACTGGATCCTTCGAAGTCAGTGAAAATAAGGAGAGCAGAAGAGTTTTGGCTGTGAATTCAAACAGGTCTAGCTTGACAGTTGACACACAAAGCTTACTTAAAGGACACAACCACCAGGAGCATGGACAAATAAAAACCGATGTAAAGATACAAACCTTAGTTAAATCACATACTGCTCTCATTTT